AGTCCACAGATCTCTTCTCTTTAAAGAATTTGGACTTGCATAAATACCTGTACAAGTCCAAGCATACCCATTCCTTTCTAAGGTGAATTTAATAGAATACCTATCCACACTTAAGACATTTGAAATGAAACTGCAGCCATCCTTTTGAAGTATCCAAAGGCCACCAAAATGACCTTGGGTTTTAATAATGTGAAGAGGATACCAATGTAGTGCCGACCAATATTTCAAAACTAGGGAAAATTGAACATGGGTTTCCATTAGAAAAATGAATGTTGGTTGAAATCTTCTAATTAAGTCCGCCATATGCCTTTTGGCACGTTTATTTAGAGCTCCCATGATGTTCCAAGAGAGAATAGAGACATCTAAATGACTTCATCATAAAATAAATGACATGAAACATAATTTGATACAATGATATTAATCATTGTGTTTGAATAGCCTCCAATTCCTTTGCATGTGCCTTGGAATATTTGGAGGGATTACTATAAGCTTCCCCTCTAGTCAACATATTCACAAGCTCTTGATTTAATTATGTTTGGGCTCCAAAGCAGAATTTTTCTTTGCCAATACTAGTATTAGCTATTATTTGCATAAGGCGTATGATATATACACCTCCATTCTATGATAAGTACACCTTTAAAAAAAAACTTAAAATATATTTAATTTTTTATTTTTTAATTTTAGACATCTAATGTTCAAATTTAGTATTTTTTTATGTACATCTTTATCTTTCTCTGTTTGACTCATGATATATATAAAAGTACACATTTTTTTCTTTTTTTAATAAAAATAAATTCTATATATATAAAAGTACACATTTTTTTCTTTTTTTAATAAAAATAAATTCTTGAAATATCATGAACATAAAAAAAACAAGGAGAAAATTATAAATTAAACAATAAATAAGTAAAATTAAAAATATAAGATAAAAAATTAGTTATTCTAAAAAATAAAAAAGGAGGTGTACTTATAATAAAAAGGTGGTGCATATATGATGAGCCTTTGCATGATTGGCACGAAATTTCTTGGAATATGTTAGCCCACCGTTGAGTCCAATCTAACTTCGCTGCTTCTCCTTTTTTGGTTGGGTGATGATATATACACCTCCTATCTTTTATAAATACACCTCCAATCTTTTAAAATAAAATAAAAAATCCTAAAATATCCTTCTAACTAAATATGATTTAGTTGATTGAAACGTTAATTTTAGCATTCCGAAAAATATTTTCCAGAATAGTAAAATTATTGTTCCGGAAAGCATTTTCCGAAAGTGTGTTTCTTATATAATTTCGGAAAGTTCTTTCCAGAACATTAAATTTAGTATTGCGGAAAATATTTTCCAAAATTATGTAACAAGCACACTTCTGAAAAATACTTTCTAGAATAAAAAATTTATTATTCTTAAATGTACTTTCCGGAACAAAAGTTTTATTATTCCGGAAAGTACTTTTTGAAACAAATAGTGAGAAGAATTACTTGAAGGAAAAAATGTATATGGTTTGACACATTTTCCTTTGACACTAAACCCGCGCTTACAACTTATAACAAAACAAAAAAGAAAAGAGAATAATGCAAAAATTGAAAAGGGAAAGGGAGGTAAGGAAGTGCGGAGAAAAAAAGTAAAGAAAAAGAAACGAGGTGCAAAAAAAAACGATAAGAAAAAAGTGTGAATTTGAAAAATTATAAATTAAAAAAATATTAAAGATAATTTAAAAGTTTAATATGTTTTTTTTTAAATGTATTTATAAAGAAATGGAGATGTGTATATCATTTGCCTTTTTTGGTTATATCCAATCTTCTCGCCAAATGGGCCCACATCTGGCCATCCCAAATCCTTTTTTAAACCCCACATTATTCAAGTGTTTTCTTACGTGTAATTGTCATCTAATCACCATGCAAATTTGTCTCCACAAAATCCGATATTTTATTCTCCATACCTGAATCCCTTGAATTTTTTCGCATTATTGATGATGTCTGGTGTAACTCAGTGATGGAAGAGCATGGGCTAAAGGCCCAACCACTAAAGCCATGGCCAGGAGGTTACTTGAAGATTTGACTGCTTCAGAGCTTAGTGGGCCCAATGGGCTTGGTGGGCCTAGGGTGCTTCTCACTTGGGCTTTGATTGATTAAACACCATGATTAATTGTATTTTCTTAGTATAGGAATTTACTTTGATGTTGGTCTTGTATTTTGACCATAGATTAGGGTTTAGGTGTCTTGGGCTTAATTTTGGGCTTCTTGGGCTTTGGGCTTTTGATACCCAATATTGGGCTCATTCTTCTTCTTATATTTTTTCCTATTCATTGTATTCATTAGACCAATTTAGAAGTAATTTGAATTGAATTTGAGTCACATGGATGGCATGGGGTGGATCCGGCCATGTGAGCTTCAAATTCACTCCAAATCACTCCTAAATGATACCTAAATGAAGGTAGCAACCGGTTTAAGCTTGTAGGAAGCCAAAGTTTGAATTTCAAATTCAAATTTGAAATTCAAACTTGGCGCCAACTTTGCTAGCCTAAGTTGCCGCCAACTTTAGCCTAGTCTCTCTCCTATATATGTAACACTTCCCTCCTTTGTAAGACACTTTTTGAATATATGATAATCTGAATTTACTTCAGCCATTTCGAAAGTCACCGAAATCCCCAAGAGAGAGCTATAGAGAGTGCCTTCATAGTTTCTTAGGAAAACCCTAGTTTCCTTCACTTTGAAGTGTGCAATCCCTTGAGTTCTTGAGCTTGGATGCTTCCTTCAAGGTCTTGACCTTGTCTTCAGCTGGAGAACTTCGTTCAAGGAGTTCAACAACTTAGTTCCATCTCCATTGAAGAGGATCCGTGCCTAGGAGGAGCTTAGGAGGAGCTTGTTCATCACTTCTCCTACTCACCTCCATCACTCAGCTCAATGGTCGCAATGGTGCTTCTCCGTCATCCACCACCGGTACGCTCTTATTGCCTCCTTCCTTTGTGATAACTTCTTTCTGGCTTGTCTTTGGTTGAACATTTATGAGAGAATCAGAACCACAGTTATGTGTCATATGTCCATAAAACCACACTTGGTGCATATGATGTGGAGGCCTTCATATTGCACCTTATACCAATGTCGAACACACTTTACCAACAACCGGTTGTGTGAGGTCTATTTCAACACAAATGCGAGCAAAATGCCCTCAATTCACCTTTAAAGTATTTGAATATACGTTAACTGGCTTTCCCATTGCTGCAGTCATAACCAATAAAAAACTCTCATCATAGTAGACTAGATTAAGGCCTGGAAAGCGAATCTATACCATAGTCTTATCCACCTTTGCATTTGAAGAGACAAATTCAAGGCTAGCTCCAGTTTGTTTACTACCAAGTAATGATCATAAATCATCATGATCCTCCTGTAAGGGCACGTTCTTTGTCCTCTTCAAGGTTGAATTTAACCATAAAGAATCCATTATCCACATCCTCATATACACCCTGTAATTTCCAAATATGTGGAGTTTTCTCCTTCATGAGCCCATAACCAATAGGTTTCCCTAATAATTTGATCCTATTATTTTTTACACTGTTTTAAAAAAAATTGTTCCATGTTATTTTTTTCACTTAATTTCATTAACATCATTGGTTTTAATTTGGATGGAGAGACAATATTAAACATTTTTTAAAAATTAAAAAATCAAATTAAATCTTTTAAAAATAACGAGACTAAATTAAATCCTAAAAAAATAAAAAAAATTAAAAATATAATTTAACCAATATTTTTTATATTTAAATGTTCATGGATAAAACATGAAATTTAAATATTTTATTATCTAATTTTTATTTTGTGTCATATCAATCATGTGAAGGTAAAATCACTCACAATACTATTATGATTATATTGCATAAAACTACATTCATATCTAGAATGAATTATTTTATTTTTCATTTTTTAAATTTTGATAAACATGAGATATTTAAGTTATAAAAATATTTTTAATAACTATATCTAAATTAGTTTTAATATTTTTTTTTTATATTTAAAATACATATGTATAATAAAATCATTTATAAGAAAAAATTATATATTTCTTTTCTTTTTGTGTATCCAACTCTCCACCACCTTTATGATTCTTAAATTATTGAATAGAATAAATAGTATAATGAAATTTTACAATTTATTATTTGTTGAATCATCAGTTACATTTACTTTTAAAAATTCTCTTCTATTTAATTAAATTTAGTTTCAAATTTATATTTAACATTTATATAATTATATATATATATATATATTTAAATTTAGTGCATATATTATGTTTAATGTAAATTAATATTATAATCATTTTTAAAAATTTAAAACAAAAACATTTATCTAATACCTCATCAATTTCATCTGCATATTAATTGTTAAAATTTCTTGATAATAATTTGTGCTATTAATAAATTTTTAAATTAATAATTTCAGTAATCAATAAATTTTCACATTATGAGATGTTAATATGCAAAACAAATTTGTACGATGAACATCTAGTTATATGATTATAGATAAGTTGTCCTTGTCTTGTCCATTTATAAGTCTTATTCATGTTAGTTCAAATTAAAACACAAGATTCTAATAAATCTTCAGGTCTAAATCTGTCCACATTCTGCCCTAATTTGTGCTTCTTATTTATTTATTTCTCAAATTTATTCTAATTATCAAGTTATATGACAAAAAAAATGCATAATATATAAATTAACTTAAATTCACAAATTAATTTTGAAACTATGGCAAATTAATTTATTTCAAAAATTAATTTTAAAATTTACTTGATTGTAAATGTTCTAAAAATCAAACTCTAAAATATAATTAATAATCTTGTAACATTCTAAATTTAATTTCCACCCATCTTTAAAAAAATTTAAAGATATGTTATATTAGCTTCTAAAAAAAAATATAAAAACAATGCAACATGAATACAATTAGGAAAAAAAAAGTATAAATAAAATTGGTCTCCCCAATATACAGGGTTTTTACTAACATAAAATAAAATTGACAAGAATATGTAATTATGTTATAGGAAATTGAAACGACACTGCCCACAATAATTCGCCTCATTGATGTATTTGATATAAGTATATTACAACAAAATTTCATGTGATTGACCTAACTCTATGCTAAAAAGTTCGTCAGTTGTTCCATTCTAGTCTAACCAGCAGATATTAGTGATTTAATTGCTATCTCAAGTACTCTAGGAGAAACGAAGTCAGAAATGATATATGCAGCAGTCCAAGAATATTAAGCAGTATTGATACAAAAGACAATTCTGAAAGAAATTACATGAAAAGATCATCTCATTACAGACTCTTTCACAAACGATCGACCACCTGTACTGCAATAGGATGAAACAAAGTCAGAAAACCATTTAAAAGAATACCCTAATGGCATATAGTGGAAGAAATTATTCTCACTCACGTATATTCAAGGTGAATGTTCATAAATCGAGCATTTTCTTTGCTTTGTGACAATCTCACTAAACCTTCAATAACTTGATCTTGTTCCAGATCTATAGGATCATAGAAGTATATCAATGTCTGCAAAACACATCAATAAGATTAAACACCAAAATAGTCAAAATAAAAATACAATTTTGAACATAAAATTTCAAAAGTAAAAAATAACTAAGCATATATCTATTAATAAGAGGATACTAGTTAGAGAGGAGGCATTCAAATACTAATCTTGTTAATATAACAGATATTTTAGCAACACACTTCATTTGCTTCCCACACTCCTTCTGAAATGTTAAATGTGTTTCAGAACATTTTCGAGTGTTCCAAACACATTTTCTAACATTCCACATTGGAAAAGGTCGAAGAGTAATTTAAATTTTTTTTTTAAATTACAGGTGCATGAAATAAAATGACAATTGCAAGAAACAAATGTCCACTTGCCGCGAGTGAAATTTGTATAGGTCACATTAAAATGAGTGGGCCCAGATTTTTTGAGAGCCACAGTTTATCTAGTAATAAAAATAATGCTTTAAAAATATGTTTGGTGGACTGTATCATACTCCTTTCGGCCTTCAACAGCTATTTTTTGTTTTTCTCTACAACAGAGACTAAAACACTTACTGAGGGGAGTAGTATTCAGGACACTAAACTCTAGCACTATCATTCTCGAGTCAACAAGACCTTGACTAGTGTCAATTAAACTATAAAGTATAAACTCATGGCTAAAATATATTTACTATTTTTTTTTTGTAAGTTATGCTTTAATGTAACCTTGCCCCACATGTACAACTTGCCAAGGTGATAGGATCCATATTGAAATTGTATGGCACAAGCATACAGATAGGATTCTACTATGGAATTACTTCAGAATTGGGTACAAAAAAGCAACCAGATCAAAGACATTTTATTTTCATATATGCTTAAGATAAGAATTGAGAATTGTATATACCTACCTTCATTGAACAAAAAAGCTAGAACCATACATTGAAATTCAAAATCAGAAAAATAAATACCGCACCTGTTGCCAATGTGTTGGAGGCTCCTCAGGTGCAGTGGACAAGACCAGTGCTTCATTTGAGTTTGACTTTTTTTTTCTCTGACCACCATTCATCTGATGATTGTCAATAAATGAAGTTGTCGAATGATAATTGGTCGATGATATTGCATGTCCATTAAATTCAACATCAAACCAAAATGCAAAACCATGTAGTGGTGCTGGAGAACAGGAAAAAGATTTCAATTAACACAATAATTAAAAGTTTCATTAAATTAGAATTTGTTGGATGAGAACAGAACATGGACAATATGAAGATGACCGTGTGAAGAACAGACAAAAGGAGGTTACCTCGCATCATAGAATTGAACTTAAAGTTGGCTGTCACAGACTCTAACTCTCGAATGGTAACAGAATAACTATCAATAAATTTTACCTGTAATAATAAATGGACAACTTTTTCAGGAATGATTCTGAATACTACTATGCAGGAAAATTTGAAATACATAAACAAATATGAATTCATATATACAAACATATGCTATTATACAGAAGTATTTACAACTAAGACTACAAGAAATTTTGATCAAATAGTGCATTTTGAGATCTAAACATTTTATAATAATCAAATAAATGGTGTACAGCTAGCACCATTACTAACTGATGCTAACCAATAATGTTTAATCAGATCGTTTTTCTTCTCCTTTTAAAAATAGCAAGTAAAGAAATACAAAGGCATTCAATAATGCATCCTCTCAATAAATTAGATAACAAAAGCTAAAAAGCACAAGGGTTGGCTCAACTAGTAGGATCAAACTGCTTTGATGTTTGACCAAAAGATCTTCAGTTCCCTTCCTGCAACCAGTCCTTTATTGAAAGGTCATCAATAAGTACCACTCTGACCCATCACTGAAGCTAGTGGCAAGCCCAGCTTTGAAAAGGGGGAAACCTTCTAGCTTGCACAATAGTTTTGAATTCTTGAGCAAAAACCATACTGTTGGGATATTGTAAGAATAGGATAAATTATAGCCTTCTAATCAAATCTAAAAACAAAGGAAAAAAGAAACATACAAACTAAGCTTACCACTGAATTGTGAAACATACAACACAACCTGTTATTATCTTAAACTCATACTGTGTATTATTGCAAAAGTTTGCCAAACCTTTCTACAAACTATACCACTCAAGTAGAAAACATACTTATAGTATAACCTAGACAAGCCATGTTATACAGCATCTTACAGTTACAAACAGAAGTCAAAAAGTAAACTGCAACTACAACTACAACATGCAGACTCACCACATGTGGCCATGTCAAAACATTTTCACCGGTTATTGTCTCCACGGAAGGTTCTTCAAATGCACATTGTTTAGCTAATGACACCATGGCAGACACTGCAACACAAAGCAGAATTAAAATTGTGACAAGATAAACAATAGATAAAAGAAAGTAGATAATCCCAGATTCTTCTACCCTGGCAATAGTATTGCGACCCATTTGGTAGCTAGGTCAGAATATGATAACTATCCTATCCTATTGGGATAATGTAATTCATATATGGAGGGAGCCATGTTAAGAAACAGAATAGAACAGTGTGTGTATATAAGATTTATATGTATAATATATAAATACATTTCCTTATAATATATACAATATAAATCTTATTATATTATATTAAAATCCTATATACATATATATATATATATATATATATATATTATATAAATATATATAATAGCAAAATGTATATATAATAATATACATATACATTATATATAAGATTTATATTCAACATATTCTGTATATTTTATAAAAAGAAATCCATAAAAAAATTAAAATACATCATATATCAATAATTACATTTTAAAAATGCAATTAAATAAATAAAATTCAAATATTTTTGTACAATTTGCAAAAATAAGATTATAAATAATAAATTTATGAATATTATGATGAAATAAAAAATTATATCAATAATTTAAGAGATTTTTTTTATACATTTATATCGTATATATATGTTTCTTTGTCATTTTTACAATTTTTTTATTAAATATTTTATGTTATTTGTGTCATTTATCTCTTAATTAATATTTATATGATTTTTTACAATTAAAAAATGAAATAATGTATAAAAGTCAAAAAGGAATATTAAAGATTTTTTTTATATAACTCACAATTATAAAAGTCAAAAAATGAAATTATATTGCAGATAATCCAACTTGCGATTTTAATTACCATGATCCAACAGAGTGTGATATTATATAGTGTGCATGGGTAATAATTACAGAGAAAATAATTTCCTAAATCCTATAATTGACTAATTACCATAATTAAGGATATCTAACAATTGCCCAATTATCATGATTAAAGATATCTAAAATATCTAACAATATTCATTATGAAGAGTATATTCACACAAACAAGCAAATCTATTTTTAGCATCCATTTTAAATTTGCACAAATACACTATAGATCTGGAAATCTTCATAACAATCAGTTATGTCATCAATCATCTAAATTACCAAGTAGAGCACTCACTATCAATTCCATAAACATTGCGCCAGAAGTCAACACTGTCACTGTATCTGTCTGAATGTGTAACAGGAGCCATGTACAACTGGACAAAAGTACACCAAGGGTCAGCATTTTTTATAAGGCATCATAAGGTCAAATCATCCTTATAGATAAACTGAATCAAGTAATTATTGAACCCCCAATCACATTCAAGCAATTCTAAGATCCATGAATAAGGGATCAAAAAATCCAATTTCAAAGCCAAAATAGGACTGGATTCTACAAGATAGAATAACCTTTTAAAAGAGGTGTTCCCTATAGTATAACAATACATACATACATACATATACATATATATATATATATATATATATATATAT